AGTTAAACAGGCCTGGTTCCCAGCTAGCCTTGAGCCCCTCATTTCACCTCTCAAAGCTTTGATTTCCTCATCTGTAAAAGCAGAATAATATTAGAACTAACCTCCCCAATTGCTGGAGGCTTCAGCCAGAGGCTGAATCTTATAGCAGTTGTGGGCACAGACTGCGGAGCTAGAATACTTGATTTCAAATCCCATCTCTGCCACTGACTGGCTATGTGACCATGACCACATTACTGACATTTCTGGGCTTAGTTTTTTTTTGTTGTTGTTGTTTTTTATTTTAAAAGATGACCAGTAAGGGGATCTTAACCCTTGGCTTGGTGTTGTCAGCACCACGCTCAACCAGTGAGCGAACCGGCCATCCCTATATAGGATCCGAACCCATGGCCCTGGTGTTATCAGCACCGCACCCTCCCGAGTGAGCCATGAGCTGGCCCTCTGGGCTTAGTTTTTTCATAAAATATAGATGCTATTAATGGTACCTATCTCAGAGGGTGTTGTAAGGATTATTAGTTGGTACATATAAAGCACAAGAACAGTCCTTGGAATGTGCTAAGTACCATGTGAGTATTTGCTATTATTAGTAGTAGTAGTACTACTTCTACTGCTACATACATGAGGGTACTTCCAAAAGTTTGCAGAAAATAGAATTGAAAGACCATACAGGGCTGGCTGGTTAGCTCAGTTGGTTAGAGTGTGGTGCTGATAACACCAAGGTCCAGGATTCCATCCCTGTACTAGCCAGCTACCAAACAAAAATAAAACAAAAAACAAATGTTTTCATGTACTTTTTGAAGTACTCCTGTAAAACACTCAGCAAGGCATAGCTAAATGCTCAATAAATATAAGCCATTGCTAATCTTTTTCTCTTTTCTTAATAACCACTCCTCATTAACTATAATATCATATTTTACATTTCTTAGAATCATATGAAAACAATACTCCAGGAAGATGCACCCTGTTTTTCCCTGTGGTTTTAGCTACACTTGACTGCCATCATATAGATCTCCTCCCCAGGGGGATGCAAGGATATTGTCCAAAAAAAAAAAAAAAAAAAAAAAGGATATCGTCCAACCCTTTCATTTTACAAATGCAGACTGTGCCTATCTTTCTGCATGTGACAGAACTGGAACAAGTGGCACTGACGCCCATACCTGGATTCCCCAGGTGGCCACAGCCCCACCGCTCCCTCATGCAAGGCTCTGATCTGAGACACCCTGTGTGGCTCAACTCGATGACCTGTCCTTTCAAAGTCATTCCCATTGAAGACTAAAAGTTGTTCTCAACATTCTTAGCAATTCTGCACCAGGATGAGGCTGAGGGAAGCAAGTCAGGGAAGCACGGTTGATAATATTAAAGATAATGATGCTGAACAGGTGTCAAAGAGTTTACTTAACTCATTAATTCACGAGGGAACCAGTAAGATGTTATATCCAGTTCAAAGGAGAATTCCAAGAACCACATGTATACAGACAATAAGGAATGCTAAAGTGGATTTACTAATCGATGCCAAAGTGGTTTATCCATGAGGCAATAATTGCATTCTGCCACACCCGTTCATATCCATTTCTATGGATGAGTATCATGTGCATTATTATCAGTTTTATACAACTTACAGGGTTGTAAAATAACTCAAAGACAATAAAAGGTAGAGGTAACCTGTAAAGGAGAGCAACGCAGGATACTCACCAATCTTTTTTTTTCTAAACGCACATTTCACAGTTTTTCACAATATCAATAGTGAATATTTGAGGGTTTTACTGACTTCTGGGCACTCTGCCAAGCTCTTTTCTCTGCATCCTTCCCACCCCTGCAACCCACTGGTCTCTGGAGCATACTCAGAAGGCAGCTTGAAGAGCACAAAAGTCAGCCCCTCACTCCTCAGAGCCCTTGCATGATCTGACTTGACTGTGTCTGGCTGCAGGACCCCTGTCTCTGCTTTCTTCACCTGGAAGGGAGGCATGCAGCACATGAGCCCAGCTATGTGGAGGAAACTTGTCATTCCACAACCCTTTTTCCTTCCAAGACCCATTCCCTCCGTTCCCTGGGATGCAAGGCTTCTGGCTGATGTAATTCCCTTTATGCCCACCAGATGGCAGGAGCTCCTCGGTGTGGGTGTGAGCAAGCCCCACAAGCGTGCCTGGACTCAAATTCAGACTACAAGGGTTCAAGAGAACTGCGTGGATATCCCCCGAGTCTCAATGTATCCATTTCAAACTGTACTGAGTCCTATTATGTGACCTATTAGGTCACTGGGAGGAAACAGAGTTCCTCCCCTCTTTGGAAGGTAAGACACGGGTAAGCCCATCAACCAGTGGGCTCATTCTAGGTTGCTGGCCACAAAGATGCCCTTTGTGGCAGGAGAACTACTGGGGAAGTACAGCAGAGCAGTGAACAGCACAGACTTGGTATCAGACAGAGGTGGGTTCAAATCCTGACTCTCTATCAATTACTATCTGTGTGCTTTGGAGCAAGTGATCTGAGCCTCATTTTCCCCATCTGTCAAATGGGGTCAATAATGCCTACCTTATAAACTTAAATTCACAGTGAGGAATGAGGGAAAGATGCACGTAAGGTGCTTAGAATGGCACTTGGCACGTGGGAGGCTCAGGGCCTGATCCATTATCAGAACAAGCCAGTGTGCCTTGGGCCCCTCCCTTCCAGGCTGCTGCTCTGGCAGGAGACTGAGCCTCCATCAAAGACCGGATCCCACCGTCATCTGCCCCGTGCACCCACTTGGGCTCGAAGCTGCTCCTCTTCATCGGTGGAAAATTCCGTGAGGCAGTGGAGAGGGACATCCATCTTGGCCACTATCTCGCCAATCCTCTGCTGCATGGCCACACACTCGTCTGCAGACAAGAATCCTTCCAGCACCAGGAACCCGTCCTCCTTGAACTACAGGCAAGAACGAGACACATGCTTCCCCCTGCCTTCAAATGTTCTCTATGACATAGGCCGGCCGTGGCTCACTCAGGAGAGTGCGGTGCTGATAACACCAAGGCCTCGGGTTCGGATCCCATATAGGGATGGCTGGTTTGCTCACTGGCTGAGCGTGGTGCTGACAACACCAAGCCAAGGGTTGAGATCCCCTTACCGGTCATCTTTTTTAAAAAAAATAAAATAAATAAAATAAAAAATAAATAAAAAACAAATGTTCTATATGACAATATTTGACCCCTCCCCCAAACCAGCAGCTGTGTAAAGATGAGACCAAGTGCTGCCCGCACCCCAACACGGTGCATGGTGTCTGGCATCCAACGAGAGCAATCAGTATTGGCTGCTCGAATGAAGGAAGGAGGAAGGGGATGGGGAGGTTGTCCCTGCCCCATAGGCTTGAGCCACATGGAAATACCTCATTCATTTATTCAGTAAATAGTGATTGAGCATCTACTGTGTATATGACATGGTTTTAGGAGCTGGAGATACAGTAATGAACAAACGGGCCATGATGCCTACCCCTACGGAACTTACAGTCCAGTGAAGGAGATCGTCGTTACACAAACCTTCACACAGCTAAACATACTACCACAAATTGAGCTGAGGGCAAGGAGAAACAGGGCGGGCTGCAAGCACTAAAGGCAGAAGCATCTAATGTGAACCAGGTGGGAAGGAGAAGGGTCTTAGGCCTTAACAAGGACATGGGAAGTCACTTCTTGAAACACCGTAAAGTGTCTGATTTCCAATTACTGACCCCTCTATTCCCAGTTCTGGCTTCCACACACTGGATGTTGGAACATTCATGATCACTGACTATGGGCCCTTCTGTCTCTGGGCAGCTCTGCATGTTAGAAAGAATCACATCGGTATCAAGCTGAGAACTGCCTCCTTGGGAACTGGGCCATCCACAGCAAACTGCATACTCTTGATTCAGTAAACACACTGCTAGGAAGTCTTCTGAGATTAGCATATTGGGGAGCAAAGATGTATGCTTAGTGAGAGCAATCAATAGGAAATAATCTAAATGCTCACAGGCTGATGAGTTAGCTCACTTGGTGTTATAACACTGAGGTCAAGGGTTCGGATCCCATACCTGCCATCCACCAAAAAAGAAAAATTTTTAAAAAGGTGGTTATGAGTTGTTCGATTAGCTCTGTTGGTTATAGTGCAGCCTTATAACACCAAGGTCACAGGTTTGGATCCCAGTATCAGCCAGCCACCAGAAAACAACAACGAAAAAAGCTGGATACAAGTGAGTATCTGATGGCTGTAAGAACTTGGGCAAGTGGTTTCCTCTCTGTGGCCCTCAGACTATCAAATGGAGTAGCAGTGGTGCCTCCTTTAGAGAACACGTGGTGAGGGTGATAAGTGATGGTGATAGCTGCTGTTGAAACAGATTAGAGGGCTGTATATCAAAATATTAACAGTCTTGGCATAGGAATTTATGGGTGGTTTCAGTTTTTTTAAAACTCTGTGTGCCTCTAATCCCCTTGTGTTAGCGTTAGCCTTTCCTATTTGGAAGGACACATGACCCTGGGAGGACACATGACCCTGGGAGGACGATCTCCCCTGGCCCCGCCCCTGTCCATGCCCCCGCCCCCTGCTCGCCAGAGGATCCCAATGTTTTATTCTGGTTTGAGTCATACACACATTCCCACCCCATCACGGGTCCTGTGACATGGATACCCCAGGCTGTGTACCTGCAGAGGTTAGAGGTTATGATTGGAAACCCACCCCTTTAGTGGTCAGTTTCCTCTTTTGTAAAATGGCGGGGGGTGGGTTGACTTCCTGGGGACTACTGGAGATTAAGTGGGCCCCCCCCACTTTTACCTGACCCTCCCAGCCCCTACCCTGCGGGTCCCTACCTTCTGGAGCTGCGAAAGGCTTAGGCAAGCCATGGGGACAATCAGGGCAAGTGGCTCTGACTGCTAAGTCCAAAGCGGGAGAAGAGGAAGTTCAGGAGGGAGGAGTCATCTGGGAGGACCAGAAAGACTTAACCCTTGCCTACCCAGAAGAAACCCATTACCACTACCCAGCCCTCCTCTCCCAAACATGCACAGACCAGCACGTGCCCTCCAGGCTGAGCCCCCTCCAAGCTGGACCCCAGCCCAGCACCTACCCCACCCCCACCCCGCCCTCCCCCCTGCCCTGCTC